TGGGTAGCTGTCAAGCTGTCCCAGTTTCTTAGCCGCCAGTTTTGGATTCTTTTTGTACTTTTGCCAGATCTCCCTCTGCCAGTTTTCCATTTTCCCAACTACGTGCAGAAACGCGACAGATTCGGTGGGTGGCAATCCATATCTCGGTTTGTACGTCTTGTTAGAGGCGTTTTGTCGGGGCGCTACTGGCTTGGCAGGAAGCGATGATGCATCAGGGCTTGTGGTGCGATCTGGCTCAGTCGGTGTGCTGTGCGTGGTTGCAATGCTTCGAGGCGATGTGGTCAGCTGTCCCAGAACCTCACACTCTGCTACCGCTCTCCCTGCTGCCAATGTTGCTGGTGATGATGGCCTTCCGGATGCTTCCAGTTTCTTAGTTGTTGCTGGTGCTGTTGCTGCTTCTGCTGCTGTTGCTCCTGTTGCGGATCTATCATCACGCTTGTCAGCTCTTGGAGGCTGAGTTGGCACCATGACCTGAGCGGGACGCGATTCCGCGACTTTCATTCTACGCAATATGGCTCCCCTCGACTCCTTCATGTACCGTTCCTCCTCGTTTTCTAAAATGCTTTGTATCTTGCCGGCTTGAACCTCTTTTGCGACCTGCATGTCTTGGAAAGCTAGTACTAAGCGGTTCAGAAGCTGCACCTGCTGCTTGGCTGGTAGCAGATTTCCCGCCTCGTCCCGCCGCCTCTGCAGGAATTGATCGTGGTCGAACTGGACCAAGTACCGCGGCTCCACGTCCGACTCTCGTCTCCTCGCCAGCTTGAGAGCGCGCGCTATGTGCATCTTCTGCAGCATGTGTCGACCAACACGCCACGTGACATACCCATTGCCTACCGGCACGGTTCTGTCCGGTGGCAATCGCAGCTGTTCGTCGAGGTTCTCCTGCAGGTTCAAGGCGTATTGGCGACGATGACCGTGTTTTGCGCTCCACTTTTCCAGTTCACGTACACGATCAGGTAAGGGCAGGACCTGCGCAAGATCTTGGGGCAAGTCTCTACCAGTTGGCTTGACAGCTGCTGAACGACCCTTTACAGTTCGGTGTGTCGTGGATGTGTGTGAGTTGTCCGGTCCGACCGGAGGTAGCGGTGACCAAGATTTGATCTGGGTTAGAGGTTTGGTTCTGCCGTCAGCAGTGCTAGCGGAAAGTCTAGGTTTCAGTTTGGTAGTGTTGCTCATATCCTGCCAATGGCCGTCGGTTGTACTCTCAGCGGTGGTGTGCTGTTCCCTTGGACCGGTGTATCTACGCCATTCGGGTCGTTTCGGCAAAGCTTGCACGCGCATCACGGGTCGATGTCCTTTTCCAGTTTTAAATTCACCAGCTCCCGTCCGCTTCGCCACGGGCCGTTCGGGCAAACTACGCTTGTCGGTTTTGGCAGGGTGAGAAGAGCTCGGCGGAGGACTCCTGATATGGCGAAGGCGAGAACCAGTATGTTCTGCTTTCGTTACGTTTCGCAGCCCTTTCGATGAGCTGAAAGCAGCTGCCCTTGGCCTATGGGGAGTGCAAGCTGGTGACGGCGAAGACGAACTCTGTGAACTGCGACTGGACGTCGTGGAGGTGGCATCTCTGAGCTCGCTCATCGCTAATGCGTGCATGCGAATCTCCCACAAGCAGGGTGCTAGTTTTGCTGGTGGGGTTACCTTCACACGTAGCTACTGCACTAGGTCATGAGATACCTGCACAAGATGGTGGCAAATTGAAAGGCGGAGAAATACAAGCTGCGAGATTATGGCTTAGCGGCATAGACAGAGTCTTCAACTTCAAGCCTGGCTGCTGATCCTGACTCTTCCCAAAACACATACGTCCAGGGCACTTATAGTGCATGTGTTCTGGAAGAACCCTGGAGCACTGCGGCCAGGTCTAGGACTAATCCACTGAGACTACACGGACAGAATGGTGTCTTCTAAGCATGAGTTGTAGTAAGTAAGTGATTTTACACCTACATGTAGTTAGCATTAGTTTCAGAGGGCAGAGACTAAGTCTTGATTTCGGCTACAGATATACTGGTAGTGGTACGGCGCATCGATACAGGACCGGGAGTGATTGCGCAAACCAAGTCTTGGTAAACAGCAGGCAGTACTCACTGGCTGGGTGATGCAGCTCAGCTCAGCCTCCCGCATATGCATACATGCAGCTCAGCTCAGGCAGCTACGTTCCTCCCACGAAAACACGACACAGACTGACAGAGGCTGTGCGCCATCGCCAACAGCAATAGAGCATTAGAGGGCCTAGGGGAAATCAAGCCTGTGCGCGCTGGCATATTGTGCATGGCACAGTGCTAACTGTTAGTTACTTTAGTTTAGTGCAACGTTACGTACCTTCTGTTGTGAATCTGTATCAGGCCTAGCCTGTCATGACTGTCATGACTGTCGACATGTCTGAAGCAAGTACAGTAAAACCTGTCAATGCGACCACTCGGATAAAGCGACCACCTGTCCTAGAAAACCAATGTAACCAGGCCTAAGCCAAGGGATGCTATTTACAGTCAATTGACCCTGGATACGGAGACCACCTGGTAACAGAGACCACATCTTGAAGGTCCTTTGAGCGGTCGTCTTAGACAGGTTTCTCTGTAGTAGCTCTACGTTTGTGTCTGCTCTACAATAACGACTACATGGACTACAATCAGTTCAGTGACTGAGTGGTTCGACGTCACAACACATTCAGTCCAGGGGACATGAAGTCTGTACGTTATAGTGGAGATTCTCTGTAATATCCTAGCCTAGGTGGAATGACACTCACACAGGAAATGAGTTATCATCGACGTAGAGCCAACGCAAGGTCCTCAAAGAGTACGTTTTGATACGTGTATTTTACTCAAGCTGTGGACAAAACTAATACGTGTATGTATGTAGCACAAAGGGTCCATGACTTCTCTTTGCGCTTGGCAGCATTGTACTGTTGATAATGGTATTGTAAACAGTATGACAACGGTAGGTCTACGTCATCATGGCCATAGCCTTGGCTAAATGTGTGCCGTGATTCGTAGTACTAGTACTCGAATTCGTGATTCGCGAGTTATTGTTGTCATTATGCTCTGTCGCACCCTGTAACAATATTATCCATGAGGCTGGCTGTATTATTGTAACACACAATGCCCATGGTCCAGTGGAAGGCAGGATACGTACACACATGGCATTATGGTCCAGTGGAAGTCAAAATACGGCTGTCTCTACACCACTTTAACCCGTACATGTATTCAGCAATTCAAGGTGATCCCGTTCTATTCGTACTACTATCAGTATCTACTATCAGTTAGCCTCCACACGTAGGCGACAATCTTCCGTCGTCACTCTCCTCTGTAGCTTTTAGTTTCACCCATTTCAATGTCTTCCACGCAACATGGTTTTTTGTGTGAGCCAGACTCACACTGCTTGAGATAATTTCCGTATTAAAATTTACCATAACATCCTCTGCCAGTCAACATTCATCTTTTAAAATATTACAATTCTTGCATAATATTTTCTTCATTATAGTCGCACACTTGTAAAATGTATAGTTGCTTGTTCGTACTCATTATGCATACAGGACGTGCAGGACCTGTGCCTACCGTGTGAGCAAGGTACTCATGGTGATGAATCTCCACTGGCATGATTGCAATGCGAATGGCCAGGAGCCACTTACATGTATGTGAATCTACAAAGGTCAAAAAGAATGGTTCCACCAGGTATATATACATACGTTGTAACGCCGCGTTTCATGCACGTAGCTAAATGCTAAGGCAATCATCAGACAACTAAATGCTTTTGTCGCCGGATAGCTTATTCTTATAATCGGTGGAACCATTCTTTTTGACCTTTGTGGTTACGCTCCGCCCTTGTGGTGTTGAGCACTGTTGAAACCTGGGTATACCCACTTATGTGTATGTGAAATCTAGATGTTTCCTCGCGCTATTGAAATGTTGTATCTACATGTACACCACTGCTACCCACTTTTCGAATTTCTCGTGAATGCTAGTCTTGGTCATGCTGTCTGACGAGTATTTCACACGAAACTCTTGAGCAAGGGCGGAAAAGAACTTGGGTGAGACATTGCTGTGTGATCATTGAATCTAGATACATGTAGACCCAACGAGGGAATGATGAACCTACCATCGGTGTCACGGTCTGCGGCAGAAAATGTTATTATTATTATTAAAAGCATGTCCGAGTAGGTGGCGGGGTGCCACTTTCGCTTATGCCATGATTCAGGATTGATGTCTGAAGAGTAATACAATACGATGAAATGACAGAAATGACGTAAATCGAAAGTATACATACAGCAGAAAATACACGTACTAAATATTGAAAATAAATTTTATTGTCTGAATAACAGAGGAAAGTAAAGCTCGTAATGACGCTACGGCAGCAATGAAGAATATGAAGAGGGATAGTCCCGGCGAGGCACGCAGCTCTGAACGTTATTTCCTTTAGCAGACGCGTGGAGTGAAATGGGTGGTGCAGTGGCGTATTGTGCAACCTCAGAAACATTATCAAAAATGGGGCCATGAGAAATGATTGGTGCGTTGAAAAACTGAAGGTGGGTCAGCTTTTTTTTAAATTTTTTTAGCATTGCTCTAGCACATTAATTTCGTTCTACTGGTTAAGTACAAACTGCGTTGCATACACACACGTGCACACGCACTCGCGCACGCACATGTCCACACCACACACACATACACACATACACACACACGCACACACACAAGACGTCCAGGAGACCGTTTAGAAGTCGTTATACCGCGGTGTTTCTGTACTGCTTCTTCTGTGTAACGGGCGGTTGGCGGTGCGTAGCAGCGGCGTGGCTCCATGTTGCTGGTGCGTCAGATTGGACGGCTGTGGCTTTGCTAGGCGTTGCTGGTATATCACTAGCAGATTGGATGGCAGCGTTTTTGCTTGGTGTTGCTGATACGTCGCTGTCGCCAGATTGGATTCCAGCGACGTTGCTTGGTGTGGCTGATTTGTCCGGTATAGCCCTGCTAGTTGCAGTGGCTGGCAGGAGCAACCCTTCGGACCCATCCCTCGACGATTGCAACGTGCGAACTGCCGGGCTGACATTCTCCATTTGTGCTCGCCGGCGCAATGCCGAATGAGCACGCCATGGGCTCATAAACCGTACGTCAACATCATCATCAGTACCGACACGAAGTCTCTCCGTTTGAACTGCTGGTCGTGATCGCTGCTCGTCGTCAAGAGTAGCAGCAGTGGCGAGATCAAGGACCGGCGCCCGAGGTGAGATACCGTGCCGGAATGAGTCAGAAAGACGACGGAAACTGCGCTGCAGCTTCCGCTTGGTCCAATCCAGAGCACCAGCTAGATCTTGCACCTGATTGGGCCTTCGGTTGCGCAAGTTAGGAAGGGTTGTCCATATAATAGTGCGAGCATCTACATAACGTTCTTCCTCCAGTCCGTCAATACTGCCCATACGAGTCCCGCCAATGGTCGACGGGTCTAGGCGTACTCGTCGCGGTTGCCTTGTCCTCTTCCGCTGCGCGTCCGCCTCATCTGGTTCGTCTCGGGCCTTTCGGCAAGCCCAGCACCTGCACACCGGGCGGACGTGCCTTCCCGTGTATGCACAACACGTGTCTGCGGCTGTCTGCGGGGGATCGGGATAAGGGTGAGTCGCACTGTAAGTATCAGCACCGAACGCCCCCCAGGCCAAATCAGATTCTGCGGGTGTCAGCCGCGGAGGAGAACCGCTACTCGGACGATCCATAGGAACGCGAAACGCCGTCTTGCCGTCCATGAACGCAGGATGTGACTCGAAGTAACAATAGCTAGATACGAATGGTTTATGAGCGACGGGCCTAATTGGTAGGAATTCAGATGCTGGTGGCGCTGACGAACTCTGTAAGCTACCGGACGCGATCGAGTTTGCATCATGGAGCTCGGACATCGTCAACCCGTGTTCGCGGCGAGTCTTCTTGTCCCACAATCAGCTGTTCCTGCCGGTTCTGGGGGATACCTCGCCGACCAATACGCTGCACCCGAGAGATATCACACGATTTGAACAGGCTGTTGAATTAGGAGACTAGACGGAGAAAGAACTTTTACTAGGAAGTGTCAGCAAGTATGTAGGTTACAGCGCTAGAGCTAGAGCATCTATGCTGCATACGACTGAGACTAGAACTTTAGAAGTAGAAACCCGTTTCTCTACTTATCCAAGTAATAGTTTGAGTTCCCTCTAGCACAAGGACAGACGGGGTTAGGTACACGCACTGTGAATCGAATTCTGCCTTAACACCGGCGTACAGCCGCGCCAGTCCTAGCGTGGCAAATTGAATTATTCGCAGAGATCCAACATTCTCGACTAGGCCATCAGCTTGCGGAGACGAGAATTATTATAACATAGCTTTACTAGTACTAGTAGTACTGGGTCTAGGATCAGTTGTATGTTGTTTGTCGTATGCTTCAGCACTGTGTATATTGTATAATCATACTGATGGTCATCGCATATCGCTAGGCATCTGCGCAAGTCGCAGCACTACAAGCAGTCACACTGATCTAGCATTCTAGGTCAGGCAGCCACGTAAGAATCGCGTCCGCCCACCACAATGTACTACAGTCTATGGTCGGAGGATAGACCACAGTTCACCGGCATCACATCAGTCATCACTGTCAGCAGCAACACTAGTACTAGTAGTAGTAGTAGTACTACTACTGGTCTGCAAACAGTACACTGTACACTGAGAG